GGATGCTCTCGGACGTAGGTTCGAATCCTCGTCACGGCCCTTGTGGATTTGTTTACTTCACGCTACAAACCAATGGAGAAACAGCAACATCGACGAAGACCTCCGTACTCATATCGACCATCACCTTGACATCCTTACAGATCGACATCACCACAGCACCGAAACCAGGATCATCAAGAAACTGACAACATTATTTGGAGGACCTATGGCGATTCCACGACCCAGAGATGGCTTCTTAAACCTTGCTGGAATCAACCTCACTGAGGACCAAATCACTCTCTTAAATCTGGGTATAAACTGTCATGTTATGTCCAGACCAAGTGAGATGGCCTGAAAAGTGGAGTTAGAGATCCTATTGGACGACATATTCGACCTCGAGACACAAAAGAAAGTTACCACTAAAGACACCTTGCAAGCAGAACTTATTGCAGAAGGAGGAAAGGTTCGAGGTAACTACAGAAGTACCATACTGTCCCCCTAGCTCAAAGCAGCAGCTAAGAGCCTTCGCGAGAACAAGGAAGTAGTCGTCAGGAGAGGTGACAAGTCGCCAATATACGTTATTCTTAAAAAAGACGAATATCAGACAAAAATGAACCTCATACTCTCTGACCAAACTAAATTCCAAAGGGTAACGAAGGACACTACAGGTGAATTGAAAACAAACGTAAACAGATTGATCGAAACTGTGAATGCCAAGAAATCCGGACTCCACCTGCCAAAGGTTATTGGGGAATACAAACCTGGATATGCGTATGGAAATGTCAAGACCCACAAGCCTCGAAACCCACTTCGGCTAATCATCAGCCAGATACCCACACCCACATACAGACTGGCTAAGCGACTCAACGGCTTACTGACTCCTTATATACCTTGTGTTTTCAGCCTGAAGTCTCCAAACGAATTTGTTGACTTACTGCAGGGAGTACGAGTCACAGGGATAAGAGCCTCGTTGGATGTTGAGTCACTGTTTACCAACGTACCTGTGAATGAAACAATCGGGATGACAGCGGACAGAGTGTATCGTGATCCGGCTTGTACTCCTCTCGACATACCAGAAAACATACTAAGGAAACTACTCCATGCCTGCACTAAAGAAGCACCCTTCTTGAGCCCAGATGGGCAAATGTATAAGCAAGTAGATGGGGTCGCCTTGGGTTCTCCCCTAGGTGTCCTGTTTGCGAACTTCTACATGGGTACCATTGAATAGAGGGTCTTAGTTGACATAGATTTGAAACCTGTCATATACTGCAGATATGTTAACGACATTTTTACACAGGTACCTGATGCCAGATGTCTGCAGCAGCTGAAGGAGGCATTTGAGCGGAATTATGTGTTGAGTTTCACTTACGAGATGGAGAATGACGGGAAGCTGCCCTTTCTAGATGTAACAGTCACGGAAAGGAGCGGAGGCTTCCACACTGCAGTCTACACTAAGGAAACAAACATTGGAATGTGCCTCAATGCCAATAGCGACTGCCCAGACAGGTACAAGAGGAGTGTCGTCAATGCTTACGTCGACCAGGCTCTCAGTCACAGCTCAGGATAGAAGCAAGCCGATGAAGAACTCTGTAGGGTAAGGCAGGTCCTAGTCAACAACGGCTTCTCTCCAAAGTGGTTGGGCCACTTACCTGTAACCCTCTCCTCTCCCTCATACCCTAATCCTTTTCAAGTTTTCCTACATCCTCCCCCATCCTTCTCTTCCCGACTCACCAGTCCTATGGTCTTGAAACTGCAAAACTGCGAATCGAACATGAAAGCTTCATTCTAAAATTCTGAGTGTTTCAACAGAAAACGTGGAGAATATATGGGGAGGTAACTAACGGCACAAGTAAGTGTAATTATGTACTATTCCTAGCAGTCAGGAATTGTACTTATTACACTTAATATTAAACCGTACTGTCAATTCGGAGAATGGGTTGCACAACAACTGTCTCATGAACACTTACTTAACAATGTAATTGGCCCAGGCTTGCCAATACTCATATATAAGTGTTCCTGACCCGTTGAACATGCCATTAGTCTTCATCCAGGCTGGGGACGACCATGGTGAGCCGAACATCTTTAGTGGGTAAGCTGACATTTCTTTCGCTCGCAGGATCAACGGAATCTACGATGAAAATCTATCTTTTTACTTGTAATAAAACATTAAAGGCATTCCAAATGACAGAGTTTGAGCACATTTACAATTACTTTCCTGAGTGTTACAAACTTTTGCAATTGATTGAGTTTTATATGTAAAATCTATCTTGGTTGTGTATGAGTGTGTTACATTTAATTGCCAGAAACATAAAAAAATCATTTTTACAGTAACGTGAATGAAATAGGGTTGTGTTAGCATAGCGAAGCACATGATCTTTGAGACGCACACATAAGGCTGTCGCTGAGACAAGAAGGGCTGGGACTTATGGGCTTGGAGATCATACACACACATAAGTAAATACAGGAATACAAACGTCATTCTCGTCCAAGCAAATTGTATTAAGAAGTATATTCCTGAGATGAACAATCGAACCCACTAAATAAATAAAAATATAAATAAATAAATAAATAAGTAAATACATATACGTATAACTGTACTATAAGAGAGATAATGCTTGTCTGTCCAAAGCTGAAGGCCAGACGCATGGTGCTAACCTCACCCAAACGTGCAGGGGAAATAGGCTAGGGTACGGGACGGACATAGGATGGTCGGGGTAGGAGTACTTTAAATGCTTAAATAAATATTAGAAATTATAACCCCCCTCCCCACCCCCCACCCCCCCACCCCCCAAGGTGATTTCTGTGAAGTTGTAGTGTGTGTGACTTCCGAGGAGTTGTTACTGAAGGGAAGGGACGGGAATTATCATGAGAAAGCACCAAGGCATTACGACTGTATAGCACTGGGAAGGGATCAGGATAAGGATTAGGGATGGGAGGGGGGAAATGGTGCCCAACCACTTGGACGGTCGGGGATTAAACGCCGACCTGCATGAAGCGAGACCGTCACTCTACCGTCTAGCCCAAGTGGTTGGTATCGAAAAGAAAGGAAAGTAAGAAATAAAATCAAATGTAAACAAGAAAATTATTTTCTGATTTTAAATAGTTCATATTCTGAATCACTTACTCATATATTATGTATAAAATTATATATTTGTAATTCAATTAAAACTACATCCTTACCTAACTTCACCTAGACATTGGAATACAGTGAAGATTTTATGTGGTCTAATACTTTCAGTAATTTATATAAAGTACATTACTGCATTTAAAGTAATTAATGTTTTATAAACCCTAAATTTACCAATAATATTTAATCTTGACAATATTATAAACAGTGAGATGCCCTAATTACTAATTTAATAAGGATGATACCTGGCAAAAAAAATAATATAATAATAATAATTCTTATTCTTATTAATTAATACAATACAATATACATTAGAACATACTACAGTGGGTAATGGGCTACATAAAATAATATGGTATTATTTTACAGTACGTTATGTTACGTAGTGAATAAAAATTACACACCATGTAATTTGTTTAAGAATCAAATGTTCAAGAATCTGATAAAATACATATCTGAAATGAAAACTAAAATACAGGTAACATGTAAATAATTACTTTATTCTTCGGTCTTATTGTCTTTTCCTTACCAAGTCATAATTATTCAATTTACAGCATTTGTAAGTTTATGTTATGTCCCGGATATATTACATTTGATTTGTGGAACCAATTACCGCGTAACGTGGTGGAGGTGAGGTCCCTTGGTAGTTTCAAACGTGGGTTGGACATGTATATGAGTGGGATTGGGTGGATATAAGTAGGAGCTGCCTCGTATGGACCAATAGGCCAGCGCAGTTACCTTTATTCTAATGTTCTTATTAAAAACGTAAATTGTCTATGTCTCAAGAATTCAAATACAAAGCTCAAATATAAATCTTGTACTACCGAAATATGTCGAGCTCAAGCGAAAATATATATATATATATATATATATATATATATATATATATATACCTTCCAGTAGCACAAACTACCTTCCAGTAGCAGGCATAACTAGTATGCTACCCACTACACCATCAGACCTTTCAAAAGAAGGATAGTTCGAGATATATATATCTCAAACATCTCTACTTCCCGAAGGCACCAGATGAGTGTGGGGTCAGTCTGCATTTTCCATCAAGCCACTGTCAATGTGAGAGAACTCGTGTCCAGCTTATAAGCCTATACTTGCATAAACCACAAGTGAAGATTAAATAATCTTTGGACAACACCCACCAGTGGGACTCGAACCCAGAAAGCACAACTACCTTCCAGTAGCAGGCATAACTAGTATGCTTTAACCCACTACACCATCAGACCTTTCAAAAGAAGTAGATAGTTCGAGATATATATATCTCAAACATCTCTACTTCCCGAAGGCACCAGATGAGTGTGGGGTCAGTCTGCATTTTCCATCAAGCCACTGTCAATGTGAGAGAACTCGTGTCCAGCTTATAAGCCTATACTTGCATAAACCACAAGTGAAGATTAAATAATCTTTGGACAACACCCACCAGTGGGACTCGAACCCAGAAAGCACAACTACCTTCCAGTAGCAGGCATAACTAGTATGCTTTAACCCACTACACCATCAGACCTTTCAAAAGAAGTAGATAGTTCGAGATATATATATCTCAAACATCTCTACTTCCCGAAGGCACCAGATGAGTGTGGGGTCAGTCTGCATTTTCCATCAAGCCACTGTCAATGTGAGAGAACTCGTGTCCAGCTTATAAGCCTATACTTGCATAAACCACAAGTGAAGATTAAATAATCTTTGGACAACACCCACCAGTGGGACTCGAACCCAGAAAGCACAACTACCTTCCAGTAGCAGGCATAACTAGTATGCTTTAACCCACTACACCATCAGACCTTTCAAAAGAAGTAGATAGTTCGAGATATATATATCTCAAACATCTCTACTTCCCGAAGGCACCAGATGAGTGTGGGGTCAGTCTGCATTTTCCATCAAGCCACTGTCAATGTGAGAGAACTCGTGTCCAGCTTATAAGCCTATACTTGCATAAACCACAAGTGAAGATTAAATAATCTTTGGACAACACCCACCAGTGGGACTCGAACCCAGAAAGCACAACTACCTTCCAGTAGCAGGCATAACTAGTATGCTTTAACCCACTACACCATCAGACCTTTCAAAAGAAGTAGATAGTTCGAGATATATATATCTCAAACATCTCTACTTCCCGAAGGCACCAGATGAGTGTGGGGTCAGTCTGCATTTTCCATCAAGCCACTGTCAATGTGAGAGAACTCGTGTCCAGCTTATAAGCCTATACTTGCATAAACCACAAGTGAAGATTAAATAATCTTTGGACAACACCCACCAGTGGGACTCGAACCCAGAAAGCACAACTACCTTCACAAAAAGCACAACTACCTTCCAGTAGCAGGCATAACTAGTATGCTTTAACCCACTACACCATCAGACCTTTCAAAAGAAGTAGATAGTTCGAGATATATATATCTCAAACATCTCTACTTCCCGAAGGCACCAGATGAGTGTGGGGTCAGTCTGCATTTTCCATCAAGCCACTGTCAATGTGAGAGAACTCGTGTCCAGCTTATAAGCCTATACTTGCATAAACCACAAGTGAAGATTAAATAATCTTTGGACAACACCCACCAGTGGGACTCGAACCCAGAAAGCACAACTACCTTCCAGTAGCAGGCATAACTAGTATGCTTTAACCCACTACACCATCAGACCTTTCAAAAGAAGTAGATAGTTCGAGATATATATATCTCAAACATCTCTACTTCCCGAAGGCACCAGATGAGTGTGGGGTCAGTCTGCATTTTCCATCAAGCCACTGTCAATGTGAGAGAACTCGTGTCCAGCTTATAAGCCTATACTTGCATAAACCACAAGTGAAGATTAAATAATCTTTGGACAACACCCACCAGTGGGACTCGAACCCAGAAAGCACAACTACCTTCCAGTAGCAGGCATAACTAGTATGCTTTAACCCACTACACCATCAGACCTTTCAAAAGAAGTAGATAGTTCGAGATATATATATCTCAAACATCTCTACTTCCCGAAGGCACCAGATGAGTGTGGGGTCAGTCTGCATTTTCCATCAAGCCACTGTCAATGTGAGAGAACTCGTGTCCAGCTTATAAGCCTATACTTGCATAAACCACAAGTGAAGATTAAATAATCTTTGGACAACACCCACCAGTGGGACTCGAACCCAGAAAGCACAACTACCTTCCAGTAGCAGGCATAACTAGTATGCTTTAACCCACTACACCATCAGACCTTTCAAAAGAAGTAGATAGTTCGAGATATATATATCTCAAACATCTCTACTTCCCGAAGGCACCAGATGAGTGTGGGGTCAGTCTGCATTTTCCATCAAGCCACTGTCAATGTGAGAGAACTCGTGTCCAGCTTATAAGCCTATACTTGCATAAACCACAAGTGAAGATTAAATAATCTTTGGACAACACCCACCAGTGGGACTCGAACCCAGAAAGCACAACTACCTTCCAGTAGCAGGCATAACTAGTATGCTTTAACCCACTACACCATCAGACCTTTCAAAAGAAGTAGATAGTTCGAGATATATATATCTCAAACATCTCTACTTCCCGAAGGCACCAGATGAGTGTGGGGTCAGTCTGCATTTTCCATCAAGCCACTGTCAATGTGAGAGAACTCGTGTCCAGCTTATAAGCCTATACTTGCATAAACCACAAGTGAAGATTAAATAATCTTTGGACAACACCCACCAGTGGGACTCGAACCCAGAAAGCACAACTACCTTCCAGTAGCAGGCATAACTAGTATGCTTTAACCCACTACACCATCAGACCTTTCAAAAGAAGTAGATAGTTCGAGATATATATATCTCAAACATCTCTACTTCCCGAAGGCACCAGATGAGTGTGGGGTCAGTCTGCATTTTCCATCAAGCCACTGTCAATGTGAGAGAACTCGTGTCCAGCTTATAAGCCTATACTTGCATAAACCACAAGTGAAGATTAAATAATCTTTGGACAACACCCACCAGTGGGACTCGAACCATACTGTATATATATATATATATATACAGTATTTCTGACTATTATTTGACTCTGTCCTTTGCCTTTGAACACTAAACCCTATACTTCCTCCGATAAACTCTGTAATTAACAAAGATATGCTAATAATGCTTAAAGTGTTATTTATTATGGATGGTAAAGAAGAAATATAACATATTTCTTTACTACAATGTTGGGGCTAAATGTAGAACTTGCCAAAAACATTATTTTACTAATAAATAAACTCTTTTTTATAAGAAAATAAGACGCCCGGTAGATGGGAGCAGCGATATAACAAATATTAATGTTTATTGCAAAGTGATTCGCTAATTCTGTAATATATAACATTTTATATGCTATCTGAAAGACAGAGATATAAACGTTATTGTGACTACATTTCAAGGAATATAGCTTTTTTCTAAGCAAAGACATCTATGCGTCTGAAGTCCAGACACTTCGAAGCTATCATAATCTCGTCGGTTTCCTGACAATGTATGTGATTTGTAAATTCTGCAGCTGAGCCGGCAACGTGATTGGCTAAACGAAAAGATGAACAATGTTTCCTTCTCTCTGCTGGCTAAACAAAAAACATTAGTGGCATATATTGAGGCATTTTCAACCAGTGAAAATTGCTAATAAACTGAACAAGAACACCTCGTTAAATCTTGCGTAGGCGTCTCCTTACAGTTCCTAAGAAGCTTCATCACACAGTCACTTGAGAAGAAACACATGACAATGAATCTAGATCCGGGTGGTGAGTGACTACACTTAAGCCTCTTCCTTGACCAATACCTACCTTCAGCAGCAATAACGATGGGGATGGTGCTGCTTCTTTAAGGGAAACCATTAAATACAGACGACTGTTACAATGCTTAAACACCTTTCCTTTTGGTTTGAAATCCCACTCACCTCGAGGGGCAAATATGTACTAATATTTGTGAAGGAGGTGGACGATAAACTAATTTGAGTAACTAAAGAGCAGAGCGTAACAAGTTTCATGTCCCAACTCATGAGCGTTGTGGTTCGGAGGACATGCTGGTTGCATCTGTTCACCCTGTTATTACCTTATACTTGTGATCCTCTTCGGTTAAATTCCAGTGTACGAGGTCGTCGTCGCCCTCCACGTCGTCGTAGGAGTAGGTCCTGGTGGAACAGTCGCAGCCAGCAATCGGGATACGACCTATGGTGTATCCAATCCCTTCAGGAGCAAAATAGGATCTGCGGAAATTTACCACGAGAATTTTTTTTATATTGATCGTACCAACAGAGAACGATATTTCATATCTTTGATTCGTCCCATGGTTTTTGGTCGTACCTCTCTAGGTATCGCTCCTATTTAATAACTACATAAAAAATATTACTTCAGATTCTATAGGATAAAACTTGTAAATTAATGCGGCCACTAGGCTAGTGCCATCACATACTTATAATATTAGTGCGGGCAGTAGGCTAGTACCATCATATGCTTGTAATATTAGTGCTGGCACTAGGCTAGTGCCATCACAAGCTTGTAATATTAGTGCGGGCACTAGGCTAGTGCCATCACAAGCTTGTAATATTAGTGCGGGCACTAGGCTAGTGCCATCACATGCTTGTAATATTAGTACGGGCACTAGGCTAGTGCCATCACATGCTTGTAATATTAGTACGGGCACTAGGCTAGTGCCATCACATGCTTGTAATATTAGTACGGGCACTAGGCTAGTGCCATCACAAGCTTGTAATATTAGTGCGGGCACTAGGCTAGTGCCATCACATGCTTGTAATATTAGTACGGGCACTAGGCTAGTGCCATCACAAGCTTGTAATATTAGTACGGGCACTAGGCTAGTGCCATCACAAGCTTGTAATATTAGTACGGGCACTAGGCTAGTGCCATCACATGCTTGTAATATTAGTACGGGCACTAGGCTAGTGCCATCACAAGCTTGTAATATTAGTACGGGCACTAGGCTAGTGCCATCACAAGCTTGTAATATTAGTACGGGCACTAGGCTAGTGCCATCACACGCTTGTAATATTAGTGCGGGCACTAGGCTAGTGCCATCACATGCTTGTAATATTAGTACGGGCACTAGGCTAGTGCCATCACAAGCTTGTAATATTAGTACGGGCACTAGGCTAGTGCCATCACAAGCTTGTAATATTAGTACGGGCACTAGGCTAGTGCCATCACAAGCTTGTAATATTAGTGCGGGCACTAGGCTAGTACCATCACAAACTTACCGGAGGAAGTGTTCCTGGAGCTGGCTGGAGAGGGCCACAACATTAAGACCTGTGGAGTCGGTGAAGGCGCCACCGAAGCCCAGTATGGTGTGGTAAACGTCCTCTCGGTTCACTGTTATCTCCTCCGCGTCTGGGGACGTGTGTTAAAATGTTGTTAAATAATGTATGGAGAAATTTTATGATTGAACAAGTTTAGGATTCATAATGTTCAAGAATCTGAAAAATACATATTTGAGATGAAAACTAAAATACAGGTAATATGTAAATAATTCGTTTATTCTCCGGTCTTACTGTCTTTTACTTACTTATTTACTTACTTACTTACTTACTTACTTACTTACTTACTTACTTACTTACTTACTTACTTACTTACTTACTTACTTACTTACTTACTTACTTACTTACTTACTTACTTACTTACTTGCTTGCTTGCTTACTTGCTTTCATACTTACTTTTTATTTTATTTATTTATTTATTTATTTATTTATTTATTTATGTACAGAATGGTACATTTGATTGTGAGAGTACGTGACATTGGCATTCTTACATTCTTGCAAAGCCACTAACCTGTATAGCGTTTCGGGCAGGTCCTTAATGTAACAGATGAAGTAACAGTAATTAAAAGGTAGAATGCAGAAGAATTTGATTTCAACAAATAACTACAATTAAAAAGTTATTGTACTGATTTTTCTGGTGACG